GAGTGTTGATGGGCTGTGGTCTTGACTCTATGCCAGTTCAAGAGAGTGTTGATGGGCTGTGGTCTTGACTCTATGACAGTTCCACAGAGTGTTGATGGGCTGTGGTCTTGACTCTATGACAGTTCCACAGAGTTCTGACGGGCTGTGGTCTTGACTCTATGACAGTTCCAGAGAGTGTTGACGGGCTGTGATCTTGACTCTATGACAGTTCCACAGAGTGTTGACGGGCTGTGGTCTTGACTCTATGACAGTTCCACAGAGTGTTGATGGGCTGTGGTCTTGACTCTATGACAGTTCCACAGAGTGTTGATGGGCTGTGGTCTTGACTCTATGACAGTTCCACAGAGTGTTGACGGGCTATGGTCTTGACTCTATGACAGTTCCAGAGAGTGTTGACGGGCTGTGGTCTTGACTCTATGACAGTTCCAGAGAGTGTTGATGGGCTGTGGTCTTGACTCTATGACAATTCCAGAGTGTGGACGAACTGTGGTCTTGACTCTATGACAGGTCCAGAGAATGTTGACGGGCTGTGGTCTTGACTCTATGACAGTTCCAGAGAGTGTTGACGGGCTGTGGTCTTGACTCTATGACAGAACCAGAGAGTGTTGACAGGCTGTGGTCTTGACAGTACCAGAGAGTGTTGACGGGCTGTGGTCTTGACTCTATGACAGTACCAGAGAGTGTTGACAGGCTGTGGTCTTGACAGTACCAGAGAGTGTTGACATGCTGTGGTCTTGACAGTACCAGAAAGTGTTGACGAGCTGTGGTCGTGACAGTTCCAGGGGTGTTGATGGGCTGTGGTCTTGACAGTTCCAGAGAGTGTTGACGGGCTGTGGTCTTGACAGTTCCAGAGAGTGTTGACTGGCTGTGGTCTTGACAGTACTAGAGAGTGTTGACGAGCTGTGGTCTTGACAGTTCCAGAGAGTGTTGACGGGCTGTGGTCTTAACAGTTCCAGAGAGTGTTGACGGGCTGTGGTCTTGACAGTACCAGAGAGTGTTGACGGGCTGTGGTTTTGACAGTACCAGGGGTGTTGATGGGCTGTGGTCTTGACAGTTCCAGAGAGTGTTGACGGGCTGTGGTCTTGACAGTTCCAGAGAGTGTTGATGGGCTGTGGTCTTGACAATACCAGAGAGTGTTGACGGGCTATGGTCTTGACAGTTCCAGGGGTGTTGATGGGCTGTGGTCTTGACAGTTCCAGAGAGTGTTGACGGGCTGTGGTCTTGACAGTTCCAGAGAGTGTTGACTGGCTGCGGTCTTGACTCTATGACAGTTCCAGAGAGTGTTGACGGGCTGTGGTCTTGACTCTATGACAATTCCAGAGTGTTGACGGGCTGTGGTCTTGACTCTATGACAGTTCCAGAGAGTGTTGACGGCCTGTGGTCTTGACTCTATGACAGTTCCAGAGTTTTGACGGGCTGTGGTCTTGACTCTATGACAGTTCCAGAGAGAGTTGATGGGCTGTGGTCTTGACTCTATGACAGTTCCAGAGTTTTGACGGGCTGTGGTCTTGACTCTATGACAGTTCCAGAGAGTGTTGACGGGCTGTGGTCTTGACAGTACCAGAGAGTGATGACGGCCTGTGGTCTTGACTCTATGACAGTTCCAGAGTGTTGACGGGCTGTGGTCTTGACTCCATGACAGTTCCAGAGAGTGTTGACGGGCTGTGGTCTTGACAGTACCAGAGAGTGATGACGGCCTGTGGTCTTGACTCTTTGACAGTTCCAGAGAGTGTTGACGAGCTGTGGTCTTGACTCTATGACAGTACCAGAGAGTGTTGACAGGCTGTGGTCTTGACTCTATGACAGTACCAGAGAGTGTTGACTGGCTGTGGTCTTGACTCTATGACAGTTCCAGAGAGTGATGACGGGCTGTGGTCTTGACTCTATGACAGTTCCAGAGAGTGATGACGGGCTGTGGTCTTTACTCTATGACAGTTCCAGAGAGTGTTGACGGGCTGTGGTCTTGACTCTATGACAGGACCAGAGAGTGTTGACGGGCTGTGGTCTTGACTCTATGACAGTACCAGAGAGTGTTGACAGGCTGTGGTCTTGACTCTATGACAGTTCCAGAGAGTGATGACGGGCTGTGGTCTTGACTCTATGACAGTTCCAGAGAGTGATGACGGGCTGTGGTCTTGACTCTATGACAGTTCCAGAGAGTGTTGACGGGCTGTGGTCTTGACTCTATGACAGGACCAGAGAGTGTTGACGGGCTGTGGTCTTGACAGTACCAGAGAGTGTTGACGGGCTGTGGTCTTGACAGGACCAGAGAGTGTTGACGGGCTGTGGTCTTGACTCTATGACAGTACCAGAGAGTGTTGACAGGCTGTTGTCTTGACTCTATGACAGTTCCAGAGAGTGATGACGGGCTGTGGTCTTGACTCTATGACAGTTCCAGAGAGTGATGACGGGCTGTGGTCTTGACTCTATGACAGTTCCAGAGAGTGTTGACGGGCTGTGGTCTTGACTCTATGACAGGACCAGAGAGTGTTGACGGGCTGTGGTCTTGACAGTACCAGAGAGTGTTGACGGGCTGTGGTCTTGACTCTATGACAGGACCAGAGAGTGATGACGGGCTGTGGTCTTGACAGTACCAGAGAGTGTTCACAGGCTGTAGTCTTGACTCTATGAATGGACCAGAGAGTGTTGACGGGCTGTGGTCTTGACAGGACCAGAGAGTGTTGACGGGCTGTGGTCTTGACTCTATGACAGTTCCAGAGAGTGTTGACGGGCTGTGGTCTTGACTCTATGACAATTCCAGAGTGTTGACGGGCTGTGGTCTTGACTCTATGACAGTTCTAGAGTGTTGACGGTCTGTGGTCTTGACTCTATGACAGTTCCAGAGTTTTGACGGGCTGTGGTCTTGACTCTATGACAGTTCCAGAGAGTGTTGACGGGCTGTGGTCTTGACAATACCAGAGAGTGATGACGGCCTGTGATCTTGACTCTATGACAGTTCCAGAGTGTTGACGGGCTGTGGTCTTGACTCCATGACAGTTCCAGAGAGTGTTGACGGGCTGTGGTCTTGACAGTACCAGAGAGTGATGACGGCCTGTGGTCTTGACTCTATGACAGTTCCAGAGAGTGTTGACGAGCTGTGGTCTTGACTCTATGACAGTACCAGAGAGTGTTGACAGGCTGTGGTCTTGACTCTATGACAGTACCAGAGAGTGTTGACTGGCTGTGGTCTTGACTCTATGACAGTTCCAGAGAGTGATGACGGGCTGTGGTCTTGACTCTATGACAGTTCCAGAGAGTGATGACGGGCTGTGGTCTTGACTCTATGACAGTTCCAGAGAGTGTTGACGGGCTGTGGTCTTGACTCTATGACAGGACCAGAGAGTGTTGACGGGCTGTGGTCTTGACTCTATGACAGTACCAGAGAGTGTTGACAGGCTGTGGTCTTGACTCTATGACAGTTCCAGAGAGTGATGATGGGCTGTGGTCTTGACTCTATGACAGTTCCAGAGAGTGATGACGGGCTGTGGTCTTGACTCTATGACAGTTCCAGAGAGTGTTGACGGGCTGTGGTCTTGACTCTATGACAGTTCCAGAGAGTGATGACGGGCTGTGGTCTTGACTCTATGACAGTTCCAGAGAGTGTTGACGGGCTGTGGTCTTGACTCTATGACAGGACCAGAGAGTGTTGACGGGCTGTGGTCTTGACTCTATGACAGTACCAGAGAGTGTTGACAGGCTGTGGTCTTGACTCAATGACAGTTCCAGAGAGTGATGACGGGCTGTGGTCTTGACTCTATGACAGTTCCAGAGAGTGATGACAGGCTGTGGTCTTGACTCTATGACAGTTCCAGAGAGTGTTGACGGGCTGTGGTCTTGACTCTATGACAGGACCAGAGAGTGTTGACGGGCTGTGGTCTTAACAGTTCCAGAGAGTGTTGACGGGCTGTGGTCTTGACAGGACCAGAGAGTGTTGACGGGCTGTGGTCTTGACTCTATGACAGTACCAGAGAGTGTTGACAGGCTGTTGTCTTGACTCTATGACAGTTCCAGAGAGTGATGACGGGCTGTGGTCTTGACCCTATGACAGTTCCAGAGAGTGATGGCGGGCTGTGGTCTTGACTCTATGACAGTTCCAGAGAGTGTTGACGGGCTGTGGTCTTGACAGTACCAGAGAGTGTTGACGGGCTGTGGTCTTGACTCTATGACAGGACCAGAGAGTGATGACGGGCTGTGGTCTTGACAGTACCAGAGAGTGTTCACAGGCTGTGGTCTTGACTCTATGAATGGACCAGAGAGTGTTGACGGGCTGTGGTCTTGACAGGACCAGAGAGTGTTGACGGGCTGTGGTCTTGACTCTATGACAGTTCCAGAGAGTGATGACGGGCTGTGGTCTAGACTCTATGATAGTACCAGAGAGTGTTGACGGGCTGTGGTCTTGACTCTATGACAGTACCAGAGAGTGTTGACGGGCTGTGGTCTTGACAGTACCAGAGAGTGTTGACGGGCTGTGGTCTTGACAGTACCAGAGAGTGTTGACGGGCTGTGGTCTTGACTCTATGACAGTACCAGAGAGTGTTGACGGGCTGTGGTCTTGACAGTACCAGAGAGTGTTCACAGGCTGTGGTCTTGACTCTATGACAGTACCAGAGAGTGTTGACGGGCTGTGGTCTTGACTCTATGACAGTACCAGAGAGTGTTGACGGGCTGTGGTTTTGACAGTACCAGAGAGTGTTGACGGGCTGTGGTCTTGACAGTACCAGAGAGTGTTGACGGGCTGTGGTTAAGTCATCATGATATCTGAGCGGGGAAGCCACATCCGCCGGAGGAACATTGTGAAATATGAGACATCTGAAAGAATACATATGGTAGTGATAAGCTGCCGCTTTTGTCGTTGTAGCAGGTGTAGCAGAGCAGTTGCTGTTTTACCAGCAGCAGATGGCGCAGAGCAGCTGATGTAGTCGTAGCAGCAGTTGTCGCAGAACATCCGTCGAAGAGAAGCTGCTGTTGTCGTCGTAACAGATAGCAGAGCAGCTGCTGTTAAAGAAGCAGCAGACATGGTAGACTAACTACTGTTGTAGTAATTTGTTTCAGCAAAGCAGCTGTTGTTGTATAAGCAGATGCAGCCATGCAGCTGCTGTTGATGTAGCAGGAGATGTAGGAGAGCAGCTGTTGTTCAAGTAGCAGCAGAGCAACTACTGTTGAAATAGTAGAAAATGCAGCAGAGCAGCTACTGCTGAAATAGTAACAGATGCAGCAGAGCAGCTGCTATTCCAGCAGCATCAGAAGTACCAGAGCACCTGATGTTGCAGTAGCAGCAGTTAAAGCAGAGCAGCCGCTGTACTAGTAGCAATAACTGTAGCATAGCAACTGTTGAAGTAATAAATACAACTGTAACAGGACAGCAGCTTAGATAGTAGCAGCAGATGTATTACAACCAGCTGAAACCGTAGCGCCTACTATTGTAATGCAGCAAGCATATTTCAGAAGAGTCAGCAGCTGTGTTAGTATTAGCAGCAGCTGCAGTAGTAGCACTCTGCCACAGTAGCTGTAACACTAATAAGCTGTACTTTTTATCACTATGAATAATTATAACCAAATCACAACATTAATATCGAAATGCACATAGGGGCTCACTCTGTAACATTTACGAATCTCTGGGACAAAGTTGATAATAATGATAAGAACAAATGAGGCTTCCGGCAGCTTGACCACCACAGAAGGTGTCCGGACGCTCTCGGTGAGGTGTCGCCAGGCCGTCCTCTCCGCCAGTGTTGTTTCAAGGTGTCGCCAGGTCGTCCTCTCCGCCAGTGTTGTTTCAAGGTGTCGCCAAGTCGTCCTCTCCGCCAGTGTTGTTTCAAGGTGTCGCCAAGTCGTCCTCTCCGCCAGTGTTGTTTCAAGGTGTCGCCAAGTCGTCTACAGCAGTCATCTCCAGTTGCTTGGTAACGCGCTGGTCACACCGTAGCCACCATGGTAAGCTAGTTAGAATAGGGAATTTGAAAAACCAGTGAAGATAGTGAGAAAATATATGTGAGAGAACATACAGCTATGCGTGTGTACTTTATATGTGATTACAGTTAATTTATTCAAGTTAAGTCCCTCTTGTACTTACAGCCTTTTTAAATATTCAGAAGCAAATTCCAATTTCATATAAAAACATACTATTCAGTGGCTTAACAGTGGTGGAATTCTAGCACACAAAAGTATTTCAATAATTGGACAAAAAATAAGACGGTTTTTAGAAATACGCCAATAATTGTATCATTATTGTGTGATAAAATTCTAAATAATGACTGCAGCTACACAATGCACACAATAAAGATCTTTAAGTAAATATTATTTGGATTATGTGAGTGATAATTGGACTTAGACATTAATAGAGAGCATTGAGATAAATAGATATTGATAACTGTTACATTATATTAAGATTAATTTACTTTAGCAAAATTTGAGTTATGTATAAGATATATAATTTGTTTACAATTGCTAATAAATAAATGGCAAATATTAAAGTATGAATGCTTTATAGTTCGTTATTTATGTTATAGACCGAATTTAGGTCGAAAGTGTAAAATATACGGAGCAAATGTTGTCACCAACGGTATTGGTTTGAGTTGCTGGGTAGTAGTGGTGGTGGATTTGTATCCACAACTACTATTGTATTTGTGGTATCCACCACGAATACAAGAGGCTCTAGAGTACTGCTTTGGAGAACTCTACTAAGAGAAGGACTAGTTAACTGAAACAAGGGACACTATTAGCAATAGCTATGCTAAATTTTGTGGTTTCCATGTACCCCGAGATTTCCATCCTTTTTAAGGGTCTGAGTTTGGTGCAGTGAGGTTTAGTGCATACCAGCTATGCCAGTTGTTGTGAATCATCTGTGCTGGCGAGGGTTCAAGCCTCCTGGTGGGTGTGTTTAGACACACACGCCCACCAGGGGACTCGAACCCTCACCAGCACAGATGCTTCACAACACCTGGCATGGCTGGTACGCATTATACCCACTGCACCAAACTTAAGAGCCTAAAAAGGATGGAAATTTTGGGGTATTTAAGCCCCAGACATTTCCATCCCCAAGACCACCAGAGTGGGTGAGAGGTCACTGACGTTCTTTCATCAAGCACTTGTTCATATGGGAGAACATGGTGTCAATGCTTATGCACTAACTTGCCTAAACTGCAAGTTTGAAGTTAAACAACTTTAGACACACATCCACGAGGAGACTCGAACCCTTGCCAGCATAGATGCTTCACAACACCTGGCATGGCTGGTATGCATTATACCTACTGCACAAAACTCAGGGCCTAAAAAGGATGGAAATTTTGGGGTATTTAACCCCCAGACATCTCCATCTCGCAAGATCACCAGAGCAGGTGAGAGGTCACTCACGTTCTTTCATCAAGCACCTGTTAATATGGGAGAACAAAGTATCTATGCATATGTACCAACTTGCCTGCATAAGCATAAACTCGCAAGTTTTGGGTAAACACAGATGGACACCCTCCCTGCAGTAGCCTCGAACCCAGAGAGACAGCTGTTCGCACAGCATGACATAAC